GTTAAACCAATCAAACCAAGTCCTTAAGGTCAAAACGGTTTGACCTTTGGGTTGATTTTCAAAAGATTGCCTTCTTACCTTAATTCTATTTCTACCAAGGTTGGCTTCGTGCCCTTGATTACTCTAGTTACCTCTCAATCCAGCATCATCAGTTACATGTTTGAAGTTGGTTAATGATTGCAGAAGACCAAATCATTGCAAAACCACAAACGCATAGGGTTAAGGTTATTAGCCTTAAGGTTGGAATATTTTCTATTCAAGTACTTCAATTCTTGTGATTCAACAAAAGTAGAAGGACTTGAGCGTGGTTTGAGGTATTGGGCTATGAAATGTATTCTGGCCATGATATTTGAACCATTGTCGGTCTGGACAGGTTAATTGGAATGGCAATGTTTCAAATAAGACTAACTAGAACCCAGAAGCTTTTCCTTTTACACTTTTTCTTCTTTTTGTTTAAGGACAACACCATCCTCTCGTGCCTTAATTCCATTTCTACCAAGGCTAACTTCGTGCCCTTCATTACTTTAGTTGCCCTTGATTCCAACATCATTGGTTAACAGTTGCAAAAGACCACATCATTATAAAGCCACAAATGCATAGGCTTAATGTTATTAGCTTTAAGGTTAGACTCTCTGGTATTGAAGCACTTTGATTCCTATTATTCAACGGAAGTACAACGAATTTAACATGATTTGTGGTGTTAGGCTAGGAAATGTATTATAGCCATGATATTCAAACCATTGCTGGTTGGGACAAGTTATTCAACTTGGTAGTGGTCTAAATAAGGCTAGTTAGAATCTATAAACTTTTTCTCCTTTTGTTTAAGGACAACACCACCCTTTCGTATCTTAATTCTACTTCTACTTAGGTTGACTTGGTGCCCTTTGCTACTTAAGTTGCTCTTAATTCTAGCACCGTTGGTTATGCATTTGAAGTTAGTTAATAGTTGTGGAAGACTACATCATTGCAAAACCACAAATATGTAAGCTTAAGGTTATTAACTTTAAGGTTGGACTCTTTGGTATTCAAGTGCAACAAATCTAGTAATTCAACAAAAGTAGAAAGAATTTAAGGCGTTAGCTTGGGAAATGTATTCTGGCAATGATATTCGAATCATTGCGGGTTTGGACTAGTTATTTAGACAATCATTGGTCCAAATAAGGCTATTAGAATCTAGAAGCTTCCCCTTTTAAACTTTTTCTTCTTTTTGTTTAAGGACAACACCATTCTCTTGTGCTTCCATTATGGTTTTACTAAGAATAATTTTGTGCCTTTGACTACTTTAGTTGCCCTTGAATCCAGCATTGTCGGTTACAAGTTTAAAGTTGGTTAATGATTGCGAAAAACTATATCATTGCAAAACCACAAATGCATAGGTTTAAGGTTATTGACTTTACGGTTGACTATTCAATGTTCAAATGCTTTGAATCTAGTGATTCAATGAAAGTAGCACGATTTGATATGTTAAGCTAGTAAATGCATTCTGGCCATGATATTCGAACCATTGTTGATTTAGACAAGTTATTCAGACCGTTAGTGGTCTGAATAAGGCTTGTCAGAATCTAGAAGTCTTTATTCTTAAACATTTTTCTTTATTTCGTTTAAGGACAACACCACCATTTTATACCCTAATTCCATTTTTATACCAAGGTCAGCTTCATGCCCTTGATTACTTTAGTTACCTTTAACTTTAGTAGTGTTAGTTATGCATTTGAAGTTTGCTAACGGTGGTGAAAGACCACAACATTGCAAAACCACAAATGCATTAGTTTAAGGTTATTAGCTTTAGGGTTAGACTTTTTGGGATTCAAGCACTCTGATTCCTTTGATTCAACAAAAGTAAAAAGAAGTGAGCACAGTTTGAGTGCCGGGCTAAGAAATGTATTTTGGTAATATTCAGACCATTGCCCATTGGAATAGGTTATTGGGATTGACAATAGTCTAAATAAGGTTGACTAGAATCTAGAAACTTTTCCTCTTAAACTTTTTCTTCTTTTCGTTTAAGCATAACACCACTCTCTTGTGCCCTAATGTCATTTCTATAAAAGTCGGCTTAATGCCCTTGATTACTTAAGTTGCCTCTGACTTTTGCATTTTGGTTACGCATCTAAAGTTGGTTAATTGTGGCGAAAGACTACATCATTGCAAAACCATAAATGTGTAGGCTTAAAATTATTAGTTTAAAAGTTAGACTCTCTTGTATTCTAGCACTCCAATTCTTATGATTCAATGAAAGTAGAATGAATCAAGAGCGATTTCAGGCATTGGGCTAGAAAATGTATTTTGGCCTTGATATTTGGATGACTACTAGTTTGGACAAGTTATTTGGACTGGCAATGGTTTGAATAAGGATGGCTAGAATTTAAAAACTTTTCC